ATAATTAAAATTATTTACAAGAAAATATATAGACAATTCTAATCATTAGATGATAAGTCGAAAAGTCTGAGCAACTCACTCAAAAGAGGTTATTAATCTATTTTATCTTGTCAATTCAAAATACTTAGAAAAAACGCTCGAAAATGTCAAAAAAGGGATAGATTTTGTAGTATACAACAATTTTATATCTAGCGATATTGCTACTTAAGTAGATTTCCATAAATGCACCAAGTGTTCGTTTAATTATACGAAGTACAAGTACTGTTTTTGCAAATTAGAATTATATATCAGATAAGGATATATATTGAGTGACGAAAGGCATTTATAGGAGAAAAATAACTCAAAAGTAAAGTTGGAAACTCGAATTTATTTTTTTATTATTCAAATTCGTCAACTCACAAGCTTTGCTTAATCGACACAACGACAATAACGCATTGCAGTTTTTGCATTTCGTTGTAATTAATGTAACTCCACATGTCGACTTCTGTCTCATCACTTGTCAACTTAGTAAACAAAGTTATCTGTGTCATGTCCAAGCATATTCTTGCTCTGACCGATCTTACCTATTGCATTCGATTGTTTCTATTAACGAATTGCATATCATTCGTCGACAGATGTTTTGTCGAAAAATTTTCGTCGACAGGCACTTTGTCGATAGTTATTTCGTCGACAGTATTCTTTGTCGAATTCATTTTGTCGACGCATTTTCGTCGAAACGGTTTTTGTCGACATGCTTCGTCGACAATGTATTTCTTCTCTCCATTACGAACTACTTTGTTCTTACAATGTATCAACTTAGAAAACGATTTTACTTTACCTAAAAAAGCAAGTTTTCCTCGCATGAATTTGGCTGCACGTCACCGATGAAGAATGTTTCATTAACAAAATGATAATCAAATTTAGTTTCACCGAGGATCTTCATCCATATATCTGCATCTGTCCGCGCACATTCAACTGCTACTACAATAGATCTACAATAGTTCCAGCTCATGAACTTAACTCGAATAAGTTCCTGTGCTATTCCAAAAGATCTGTTTAGATCAAAATTACTGCACAAACAGTTCGTAAGAACTGAACTGAACTTTCTAACGACTCTGCTAACCCCACGAGCAGTTCGCAGAAAATTTAATAATGGAACTTAGGGTGTCATCAGACCTTCACTGTTTCATCTTGGGACTGTAGTGTTCTCAGCTTCATCTTTAATGCAAAAAGTATAACCTAGAATGCTGGAAGCTCCACCTATGAATTCTACAAAACCACCTGGGACGATTAAAGAATTACTTGGGGTGCTAAGGACTGCCTAAAATCATATTGGATCAGAAAGGATAAAATCAGCATCACCTTTAATGATAAAGGATCTGTAGTTATGCTGCTAGCAACCCAGTTGACGCTGTCAACATCCTAGATAATGCCTATAGTATCCCAGGTGATCTCGGACATATTAGATCATTCATAGTGTCTGGAGGAAGGACTCTAGCATCATCCGTGGCCTTTTAGTATCCCAAATAATGCTTCTAGCATAGTTGACTGAGCTGCTGACATTTCCATCTCAAGAGAGAACAACAAAGAGCTCCGAACACTTCCATTCCGCTACTGAGCTTCGTCTAACCAGGTCACAATGCGAGCTGAGTCGTTAGAACAGTTTAGATCAGCTCGTTTTTCGCATCAGATCGTCAGTTTAGAACTTGTTCTGGACTCTCATACCTTTACCCTGCACTCATGTTCACACCTACGCCTATACGCACACACACTTGCATTTGCTACCATATCTGTATCTAAACCCACATTCTTGTTGTTTTCGGTTGTATCTGCTTGATCAGCTTAAAGAAGTAGGGTAGTGCTGTCCAACGTTGGCAATACTTCACAACTTCTTGTCGACGAAATATCTGTCGACAACACGTTTTCGACAAAATATTTTGTCGACAAAATTTTGTCGACCAAATTACTTATTGGCGAAAGTTTGTCGACGAATGATATGATTACCTCTATTAACTGCACATGCGAGATAACATCACACTAGTGGTTGTTGTTTCCTTCTCTGTCTATTCAAAAACGCCAAAGTAACACTTCAGAAAGCAATGTATTCTTGCGTAATAAAGCAAAAAAAAATGTTTTTCTTTCACTTTCTGATTCATGTCTCTTTCTATGTTGTGCAATTAAGAGTGTGTCATGAGTCACCCTTGCAACTCGAAACTTCATCACATGTATGTTGACTGAAAGAGGAGTTGTGGTATTTCATGTATTCATAATATTATACAAGAAGGATCAGCTCAGTTCTTCTTACTTTGCTCATCTGATATTTGACACAATCTAATCAAATTGGGTGCGATTTTTGTTTTTGACGTATATAGAAAAATTTGCATAGAAAATCAAAACAAAAAATGAATGTTGATATAAACTTAGAGAATTAATAACGGTTTCCAGTTCATATTCAATCGCAACAAATTTTTGCTAAATATTGCTTAAAATCACAGTGCTTTCATATATAGTATTTTTTTTTCGTTAACTACCAGATATATATAGATTTTTATTGAACTATATGCATTATTTAAAGTTTCTATACTAAGTATGACTCTTATATCTATAGCCTGTTGTTGCATTTTTCAGCTTCTATCTCTCAATGATTTCAAATCAATCTATCCTAACAGAATTCTAAGTACATGGTAACATGAATGAGTTTCTTTTATTGATGATTAAACTTTGATATTCTTTGATACTGATGATCATTTGATTAGTTTTCCAATGTTCCTAAATTTTCGAATCTTTTTTTATCCAATTGTACTCATTTCCATAGTTCATGATAATCTTTTAATTCATAGATGATCACTTTTCTCAGTTAATACCTATAATGCTAACTGTTGGAATGTGTGGGTGTGGGTGAAAAGTAGACACTTACAACCACACCCGAGTGAAAACGAGCGCCAGATGACGGAAATATTATGGCATTTCAAAGCGAGGAAGCTCATCAAATATTAAAGAAAAGAATCACTGAATCTATTCGATAAAACAAAGTTTTATTTGTAATCTGTGAAGAAAAAGATCAATCATATCATATCTAAATGCAAACGGATTGATCGAGAACTCATCGATATCTATGATCTTTATCAACTGTTATCTCGATATTTGTTCATGGAAAACCATGAAACTCAGCTCATTCGATGTCTCCTTTTCAATCATATCAGAAGGTACATGATTCAATTCTGACAATACTAAAATAAGACAATATTTTAATAAGTTCATTTTTATTTCATGCCCAAACAATGAATTTTCAAAGATCAACATAAAACTGCATTTTATTTTTGGTTATTGAATCTGTGTTGAAGGCGGTGGTATTGATTCTTGATTATTTCTAGAATCAATTCTATCAGTCAAAGGTACATTTTTTGTTTCAGGTAGTAGGCAAGTTAATAAAACTACCAATAGAGCCAAAGCAGCATAAATATAAAATGTGATTGATAAATAATGTTCGTCAATATTAGCATCAATAACAGGTGCTAAAATAGCTCCTATCCTACTGACAGCAACTGCAAAACCATTGGCACTACTTCGAATCGATGTTGGAAATAATTCTGATATATAAATCCATGTTATTGCCATTGATGCTGATATAGAGAATTTACCAAATTGAGATATAATAACTGTTCCTATTGTACTTCGTTTAGTTAATAATGGAATAAGAAAAACACATAGACTTGTCAAACCAGTAAACATCATAAAAGAATATTTTCGACCAAGTCGTCCAGACATAACTATATTTGCAGAAATATATCCACATATTTCCACAATCGATCCAATAGTCATAGCTATATATGGAGAAATATTCATCACAGCAAGTCCATAAGAAATCTTAATAAATAACAACATTCCTGTAAATGCAATTATACTTGTAATTATGAAACGTTGTATCAATATTCTATTCGTTATTAATTTTAGAATTTTTTCTTTGAATGGTATTTTTACGTGATTAATTTGTTCTTGATTCAATAATTCTTTTAAACTCGAATTCCAATCATCTTCTTTTTTACCATTTCTTTTACTTATTTTACGTAAAACATTTTCTAATTGAATATATTTCTTTTTTGAATGTAAATACATTGGAGACTCATTGATAAAATACAGATAAATTGATGGTAAACCAATAAAGATTGTTATTGACCATAAATTATTTTGCCAATTTTTTGTTATATAAGCAAATAACGTTGCTAATGCTTCACCAAATGCAAAACAAGTTACAGCTATAGTACCAACAAGACTACGATAGGAATAGCTTGTTAATTCAAGCATTAATACAAAAACAAGACTACCTATGGGTGCAGTTAAACCTAATATAAATTGATTTAGTACCAAAAGACTAAATCTAAAAGGACAAAATATTTTTATGAATGAAAACATGTTTTTTGATTGAATGTATCTTACTTGACATGAATTGACATTGGAACCCATTGCATAAGGCTTTGTAGCAAAAGACAAATGAGGAAAAGTGTTAAAGTAAGAAAAATAATCATAGTTTTTCGTCCAAATCTATCGGCTAATGGTCCAACAATTAAAAGAGTAAATCCAGCTATGTGCATCACTGTTGAAATCCAACTTTTTTTTCCTTTTGTATGACAAACTAAATAAGCTTCTTCTGTAAATGTAAAACCATATGTGACTATTCGAAAACCGTGTAAGAAGACTTTTTTTCTAAGTATTTCAATAATAATCTTTGTAAATTGTATTATCTTTGTTGTTAGACTGAACATTTGATCAAAACATTTACTATCAAGCTAGTTTTTTTACTTCAGAGGTGATTAAATTTCACCAGAAAATAGCATCCGTTGAAAAAATCTTTTCATCACTATAATATGATTTCTGAAGTGTTATATTTAATTAAGAATGACCTAACTGGTGAAAAATGGCATTGTTTTGTAGGCAATAAAATGGACTTCTCTTGTCTTACGTAATGTCAGATAGTAAGCTCAAGACTCACTTTCTTTAATGATTTAATTTCCGAATGATCTCTAAATATGTCGATCAAATACCCATCCATTTGGACAATCAACTAATCTTCTATTAGAATCCCATATATGACATTTATCCCATTTTCCATTACTGATTGGAATATATTTATCAATAAGAGATTTTAATGTTGAATTGACTGGATTATATTGATTGTCATTCTGCAAAATAGATGATGGCAAACGACAACGATGTTCGGGTTCTGCTGCACCATAAACATAATAAAAAGCAACAGCACCAGCAGATATTTGTAATAAATTGAGAAAGAAATAATGGAACCATTGAAATCGACCGAAATCTCCACATTGTTTGAGAACACTATCAACAGTTACATTTTTTGATTTGCTTAAAAGTAATTTATCTTTCATCACAGATTGACTGACTCCATCGTTCGAATGTGTCATTTTGAAAGAAAATAGACAACTTCTGTCACTTTTCACTCTGAATTCTTTCTTTATTTGCTTATCTC